GTTACCTCTGTGCCGTGACCACATGGTCGTAAATAAATATTAATAATACTTAATTGAAATATTAAAATAAAATATTAATTCTAATATGGAACAAAATTAATATCTACTTACTAGTATATCACAGTTAGTTGTGAGGATAGAAACTGTGAAAATTAATGTGCACGAGTTTGTCATATTTATAAACGAATGGTCCAGTCACGGCAGCACGTAATTTAATAACTAATATGACATATCATGCCCATTTCACATAAATAGCTACAATTAATCATCTCGGTCTTTTTTCAATAAATACTGATACATTCACGCATCAATTAAGTATCTGCTTAGTTGTATAAAGCTGTCTACAAACGTAACAATTTCACTCATGATAGGTCGATGACCCCGTAGATTTTTTTTAATTAGTAATCCATTATTACCCATTAAAAAAATCTACGGGGTTATTTTTTTGAATTTGGTTAATTTGAAAATTGGTTGTTTTAACCCGTCACACTATCGGTATACCGACGAGGCACCAGTGGAAGATAAGTGAGAATGAATGCAGGTCAGTTGGCCCACCATGATGAATTCGACAAGAATTAACCATGATGGTTTCCAGGGAAAACCGCGTGGAGGTCGACCTAAGAGGGTATATTGCTAGCAACGGGGCTATTTGACCTCATTACTAACAATTCTTTTCCCCCCGATGACCCCGTAGAGTCAATGTTGTGTGCGACGATCCCTCACTAGATGGAGTGACGAGCTCAAATGCGTTGCAGTGTGACATCGAATACAAATGACTTGGGATCATTCCTTATCTATGGAATAACGTCTGATATGAAAGTTGGAACAATCGATACTCACTTTTCAGTGTCATCATCATACCAGGCGTTAACTATCCACTACTAAAACATAGGCCTCCTCCATAAGGGTTTTGTCAGTAGTGGCCACGCTTTGGTTTGCGACCACAATTAGGCTTTGGTGATGTTTAAAGAGGGACGCTACTGCCCATCCATCGATCATTAAATTTCCTTAGGTGCCTCTTACGACACCCACGAGAAAGGAAGGAGTGGCTCATTATATGCCAGGACTCCCTTTACATGAACTCAACTAAATAAATTGCCTGCTGACGTAGCATCTACGGTCGTTTCTTCTCACAGATATGTGTTTATTTGTTATATATTCAAGTGCTTTGTGTGTAACCTGCGATATTAAGTAATCTTTGGAATTCATAAATTGAATTTATATCTAAATAATTTTAAAATGTGTTCCTTTAAAAAAAACAATAAGAAAACAATTACTTCCATTGTAACAAAACTAACATAAATTTAATATAGGAGTTAATGCAATCGACTACAAATAGAATTGTAGAAATTGATTCAAAACTGGTAAAGGTAATGCATACTATACACACAAATAATAACTTTAAAAAAAAACGTTCACGCTCACTTTTTTACTTTATCTGAGCAGTAAGTGTTTTATATTATTCTCAATTTCGTGTATAGTATAGTATATGTCATATATGTGTAAGTATATTTGTTATTCATATATATTTATTCGTTTATATATGTAATTTTAGTATGTATGTATATCAATAATTAGTAGTACCCCATTCGAGTATCCGACACTTCCCTATGGTTGACTGGGAGAGAACGCTTTTAGCATTAAGTCCGCCATGTACAAATATTTGTACTAATGAATAAATAAATAAGCCCTATAGTGATAAAAATAGCATTAAGACACCTATTTTCGAATAGATTTAACGGAGAGAGATCTATTTTCAACCAATTTCAAAAAGAGGGAGATTACCAATTCGGTTGTACTTTTTTGTTTGTTACCTCACAACTCCATCAGTTAAAAAGCTATTTGTAAAATTCTTTTTGATCTGAAATACTTACAGACAGACTTTTCAAATTTTATCAATATCGGTTTAGTAGTTTAGTTTTTAAAACAAAAGAATAGCTTTGACCACAATTGTAGTAATTTTTTATGTGGAACACTATCTTAAATAGTAATAATGACTTTTGTAAAGTGACTATTTTTACCAACAAGTATATTATGTAAATTTATGACAATCATTTAAGCCATTCAGGCATGAGTAGGTAATAAATGTTCAATACGAACAAAAATATAGTAATTCAAACTATTTTATGTTTGTAAAATACTTTTTGTTTTTCTTTTGTTTTTTGGAATATTTTTTTTTCTCTATCACTTCATTCAATATAGGTACATGCAAGTCTATGCACGGCATTTTATTTTTATTTTATTCCTCTGGTACAAGTTCCTGCATAATTAAACTACAATAAAACCAGCGACCAGCAAGGAACTGAACAATAAAGATATTTACTATTTCATTTATAATATAATAAGGATTTAAATCCTTATTGATCTGTTCTGATTGATTAATGTAGTACTATGATGATTTGCACCGTCTACCTTAATTTATATCCATAGCTCCACAGCTTTAATGCTAAGTCGCGATGTTTGTAGACAGCTTAATTTATCAACGACAACTCTATGTCATTTAAATGCCCCATTAAGTGATAAATACTGGTAATACATTTTTAATTCATCATCCATGTATTCATTCATGACAGGTACTTAATTTTAATTTGATATATAAATCTACATAATATATAGGACATAGAGGAAGAAGGAGTAACTGCATGCTACAGATGAAGGAAACACTATGTGTCATGTCGTATAGGGAGGTCAAAGATTTTTCCTGGGATAGAGCTGGCTGGATGAAAATGAATGTTGCACCGACAAGAGGAAACTCTTAGATGAAAAAAAAAGAGTGAGGATGGTACCTTTTTTATGCAATTTAGAATAGCAATGACGTCTATTTCTTTCTTGCAATATTTATAATCACGGGATACATATTATAAGTACATAGAAGTGTTGCAGCTTGTACATTGGATTTTACCGTGCGATGACGGAGTAAGGGTATGATTTATCAATTTCCTTGCCCAGTTTTACAGATTGCATTTAGCTCAACAAATTGGTACTGAAATCGTAATCAGAACAAGCCAATTTGTAGTTGCATAACAATAATCAACCTGTTTTCGGGAAAGGGATTGTTGCTAATGGAGTCTAATTGACCTATTGCTGTCTTGTATATGCTGTTAGGTCGACCTCGACGCGGTTCTCCCTGGAAACCATCGTGGTTAATTCCAGTGGAATTTATCACGATGGGCTAACTGACCTGCTTTCATCGTCACCTATTATTCTTCACTGGTGCCCCGCCAGCGTATATCGATAGCGCAGGCGAGGTTACCAATTTCATTATCACCAATTAAAAAAAAAACAACTTATTTTGAGTAAGTTTAAGTAAGTTCCGTAAGGCTTGCAAAGTTTTTCCTTTTTTTAAAGCTCCAAAATTTTTTTTTATACAAATTAGAATGGCAAACAAGCTGACGGCCCACCTGATGAAAAGTAGTAACCGTCGCCTATAGACATGAGCAGTACCATGGACATAACAGAGTATACTGTTTCACCCAAGATATCCCTCATGCGTTGTCATTCCTGAGGACTCAGGTGTTATTCCTTTGTACCCTATAAATTCACGCCATATCCCACACTTCAAACCGAAACACAGCCATGCAAACAACTGCTTCACGGTAGAAACACGAATGGGACAGAGGTACCCAAGCAATCGACTTTTGTACAAAGTCTCCCTCTTGTAAGACTGAAAGTAATACTAATAAACAAGGTAAAGAAAAATCAAAATGTAATCGATTACCAAACTCATCGGCCAGCATGGTTATAAGATGCTAATATATTCCATTTTTATTTTTTATTAATAACTTTTAATTGTGACATTTTAATTAACAAAATAAGGAAATTTTAACTAGTGTTATGTACACTGCATCGATATTATGTAACATAAAGTATTACTTAATGAAAATTTAACCTACTTTTGTTGAAATTATTACAGAAATACTCTCTAAAAAAGTTACTCAAATATCGAAACGTTCAATCAAATAATCGATTATTGATTGGTACTAATATTGGAATTCATCAGACTGTCTGATGATTACGTCAGTTATTTGTTTGTTTACATTTTCGTTAAGTTACATTAATCACATATATTATCACATGTATCACATCTCCCATATTTGGAACTAACAAAATTTTTCATCGTGCCTCCCACCAAATTGTTTATAATTACTCCTCTCCATCCAAAGGTTGTCTGGAAGAAATCGCTCTTAGCGATAAGGTCGCCCATTGTTTTCTCATTGTGATAATTTCTTGTAATTGTTTATATTTATAATAAGTTTACTATTGTAATCTTTTGGAGGAAACAATAAAGAGTATCTATCTATCTATCTATCTATAATATTTATATTGTTACCTATATTAGTTGCATACTGAGATTAAAATTGAGTATAATTTTATATTCTTTAAAATAAATATTTATTGAAATTTATGTATAATATAGTATCTAGCCATGTAGTCCCGGCATAGAATAGGCCACTCCATCCTTTCCCTTGGGTGTCGTAAAGGCAACTAAAGGAGGCCAAGCGATAGGCAGCAGCGTCCCTCTTAAAACATATCTAAAGCCTAACTGCGGTTGCCAATCCGCCTACCAAGCGTGGCAACTATTGGCAAAACCCCTGAAGGGGGAAGCTTATATTGCAGTGGACAGTTAAAGGTTGATATGATAGTGTCTATAAAGAATATAATAATAGATATAGTAAAAATAAAATGAGCATTATTTCAAATCGAATTATATAAAACGAATGTAAAATATTTAAACTACAAAATGTTATTTATGCTGCAATAAATAAAAGGCTTTTTATTTCATTTATATTGAATCAGACTAATAATAGTTTTAATCAATAGTATTATTACTCAATCTTGTAATGCCCAATAAAGAAAAAATATAACTACACTTTAACATTAGCCAAGAGGCCAAGAAACGTTACTAACAATTATAGAGCTAAGTGAATTTAATATTAAAATAAAATATCAAAGAATAAATTTAGGATAAAAGGTACGACAATAAGGCAATAAAATCAAACAACTAGTAATAATGTTTATTTAATTTTTACATTTTAATGCCTAATTACAAATATTGCACTTTCAAAACAGCCAAACGGATTTCAACCGTCAATAGGAATAAATAGTAACAATTTTAATAAATTCAAAACGTAACAAAAAACCAGCACGGTTTCGTATAATTGTAAATTGTTTCTCAGATCATACGCGTGTGTATGTAAAAAAAAATTTAAGATAATAACAACAAGCGGTCTATGAAAATGCAGGCAATTTCTTTATACATCTGAAGTAACATTGATTTCTGCAATTGGAATGCCTTTAACAGAAGCATTCCGATGTTTTTTTAAAACTATAAAACTGATTTAGAAACAAAAGGTATAATGTATGCCATGGGCTATTCGTATGCCAAATTTGAAAAAAAAAACAATCTTTTAATAGACATATGAAATAAATAGTAGAGCCTTTTAGGGCACTTAATTTTAGCAAGCTAAGTGTTCATTCCTCTTATTGTCATGTAACACACTCGTCTGTTTTTAATAATGTAACAGTAATTATATAAATCGTTTAATATAAACCAAATGACATCTTCCTATTCTTATCCTATCACTTAAGTCGGCATATTAATGTTTTGTTTTTTTTTTGTTCAAATCAGATTAATTCTCTCTCTATTAGCCGCTTTCTCATTGTTTTACTCACTTTTTGTCGCTATCATCTTTCAGACATTCCATTCATCTGTCTTTTCTTTTCTTTTTAGTTCTTCTACTTTCTCAAATATCAATGCTATATTTTTTTTTTATAACCAAGTTGTAAATGGTAAGTGACTACCGTCTCCCATGAGCACCCGCAACATCAGAGGAATCGGTGTGCCGTCGGCCTTTTTATTCATATTTGTTTACCTTAAACATTATTGTCATTTTTATATCCCACTTACTCAATACGTATATTGTATAAAAGCGATGAGTAAATATCTTAATAGAGATATTTTCTACCAGTTTCTACATATCGTTATATTATTCTTGTACAAACAAATTTCAGTTTTGATATATCTAATTACTTATCTACTGTTAAATTACATTCATTGTCATTTTAAAACCTATTACAATTTTTACACTATATTTACAATTTCTTACCAACTAACAATGAACGAAATGTGGCCAGTATTAAAATTTTACTGTACATAAAAAGGTTAGCCCACAATTTTTGTATTATGACCACATAGAATTATATTTAAAAATAACGTTTCAGTTAATGCCTATGAGATGTCAAGATGCAACTAAACTAGTTTCTTTCCTTCAACGTGCTTTCTTGATGGGTTTTCTGGTCTATGCTCTGATTTTGTCATACGTTTAGGATGGGAATGATAATTTCTAGGGTAATATGGAGGTCTTTGTTTACCAACTGGAGGAACGTAGTGGGCAGGCAGTGTGTATTCTGCTTCAGGATTTTGTTCCTGACTACTGTTCTGGTTGTAAGAGAGAGATTGTGAATTTACATAAGTCACTTTTTCGGGCGCTGCGTTCTTAAATATCATTTGTGGTACCATTACTTTGTACTGTGACTGAAACTTAGATGAAAATGGCATTGGTGTTACATAGCTTACAGTCTGAACTCCTTTAGTGTGAGATTTCTTACCGTGCTTGTAACTAAATGGTAAAACAGTAGCGATTGTATGATCTTTGCTAGGGTAGTTTTCTGTTAATACTAAATTGTCAGCATTATCGGCCGTAACTTGTTTTTTATATATATAACTTTGAGCATCTGCTACGCCGGCCTCTGCATGCAAATTAAAATTGTGACGAGGAATATGTCCTGATTGTGATGGCTGATATACAGAAACTACATCCTTTTGATCAACTTGTTGCGGTGAAACGTACTGCTGGGTTATTGTATGTTGAGGAGCACTGTACACAGGAATCGTTACTTTAGTAGGGCCAATATCTGGAGATCCTGCATGTTTAGCAGTATACTCTATGCTTTCCTCTTTTGGAACTCCATATTCTTGAGAAACCGAGTGAGTAGCTTCATATTGAGCCGCCGGTTGAGCTATTTCTGGAGTACCATATTCAACACCAGGAGTCACAGGAGTTTCTAGAACTGTTTCTTGTTGAGGAAGTCCGTATGCTACTTGACTAACTGAGTTGTGAGCATTCGCTTCCTGATTAACAGCGACGTTCTCTTGTTGTACCTCATGTGAAACTATTTGTTGTTCAGCTTGTTGATATTGAGGTTGTACATAATAAGTTTGTGGCTGAATTGTAGATTTTGGAGTAAACTGATAACTATATTCATACTGTTGTGCAGGTTGTTGGTAAATGGGTTGAGCAACTTGTTGATAAGTAGTTTGAGTATGTTGTTGATAAGCAGCATTAGCAGTTTGTTGGTAAGCGGAATGAGCAGGTTGTTGATATGAAAATTGAGATGGAGGAATATAATAATGAGGACGCGTATATGTCTGAGGATATCTAGCCATTACTGGTTTAACTGCTGAGTATTGCACTCCAGAAGTATCTGCTTGAGTGTATGATGGTTGGACATAAGGAGATGCATAATGTTGTGGTTCGTAATTAGTCGCAGGTGTTGAGACTGGCGTTGGTACAGATTCAGGAACAAGCGAATTTTGATATGTTGTTATTTGTGGTGCAAAGGAATATCCAATTTTTTTAAAGTAATTATTTACTATCTCTTGCAAATTAACATGATTTAAATACTGTGATAGGGGATAATTTTGAGGCAAATTAGGATATAATTCCGCAGTGGGATTTTTAAGATAGGAGCTTGGGATTCTTAAAACTAAAACCGGAACTACCCTTTGTTCTACTGGAGCACCATGTGCACGTAAATGATCTTGAGTAAGACCAGCGTTTTGAAATTGAGGATTTTTCAGCAACTGAGATGAATCTACAAAATAATTAGGCATTACAACTGGAAATTTTCCACTTAAATCTGAAAATCCTTGACCATTATAAGTAGTATAGAGTGTAGTTGGAGTTGATGTTTGTACGGGGTCAGGAGCGGAATATGCTGGAGGAGGCGAAACTAACCCTTTGATTGTATCATAATTAGTTCTCGATTCTGATGATGGTTTTCCTTGCTGATAAGATTGTTGCTCGATCAATTCAAAAGCGCGAGATGGCTGGACTTCAACATTTGTTGACGATTGTGAATTTTGCGATCTATATTGATTTGTATTTGGAGGTGGAATATCTTCTTGAGAATATGGATAGATCATAAATTTCCCTTTTTCTTGGCCTGATTTACCTAAATACGTATATGAGTATCCATTATTAGTTTTGTAACCATAACCAAGATTAGCATCAATAGTTCTTTTTCCTTTTGATTGTGTGTCTGTATCCGTGTCATTAACAATTTCTATAGCAATTACAGCTGGAAATGGGGGTTTCACATTTGAAACTTGCGATTTATCTTCTATTTGTTCATCTGTTGTTCCTTCATTACTCTTTTTGGTCTCGTTCAATACATCCTGCTTAACACCAAATTTTGCTTCAACTTCTCTTAAAAACTGTCGCTCTTCTTCTGTTAGACTTGAATCTACCTCTTTGTCCTTTTCTTTTATATCAGGTTTGTATTTCTTCGGCTCCGGTTCAGCGCACGTAGTCGAAAGCACCGTGCATATTAATATCTGGAAATGAGAGAAATTTTGATAAGTTTTAGTTGAAAATCACATGCAATCGATAAGGTAAAAAATAAAATATCATAATCTTTAAAAATAGCAGCACACAAAAATGCTATTATTTATGCGAAAGCAGGTCAGTTAGCCCATCTTGATGAATTCCACTAGAATTAACCACAATAGTTTCCAATGGTGTTCTCCTGCGTGGAAGTCGACCTGATAGGGTGTATTGCTAGCAATGGGTCACTAAAAAGTATGTAAGAGATTGCCCTAGCAATAAGACCGCCTTTTGTACCTTTATGTGTATATTTCAATCTGTATTTATGTTACTGTATTTCATTTGAATTATTCACTTGTCATTGTATATTTTTATTTATGGTGCAATAAAGAGTTAAATAAATAAATAAAAATCCCTTCTCCTCCTGCTTATAAGTTTACTTGTAACCTAGTAATTAAAAACACTGATTATGTGTATAAATTTATTATTTATTATTTTTTCAATAAATATAATGTATAAAAAGAAAGGAATCAAGTATGATAAGTCTACAGATCTTGTGAAATCTGATAGCACTTAATAACAATATTCAGAATCATGATATTGCACTAATTATGATCCACAAAATACTTGGGTATCGTTATTAAATCATCATATCCCGATGTACGAACGAAGTGCTGTTACAAAAGAAATATACATAAATCATGGCTTATTGGCCGGTTGCGTGATCACACTAACTCACTCGGTTACTCTCTAGATGTAATTAGGTAATGTAACGTATCTTCTAATAATTTTCTATCGTTCTAACAATATTGTGAAACATTTGCCACTGTAATATACGGCTTTATTGATCGTTAATGATAATTATTTATGCTATTGCTAAGTTTCTATGGCATAAGATATAGTTAAAAAATGTTTTCAATTTTTAAACTATGTTATACCTATCATACCTACGTTGATTGGTTCTTATAATTTATATGGTAGATTTTTAAGCAAACTATTAATTAGCTATAAAAAAATATTTTTTACTGAATAGATATAATAGATAATTATATATATAGATAGTAAAGCAATTTACCTAAAAATAACTAAATTTATGTGAAAAAGAATATTTAGGAAGTAAATACTGCAAAAAGAAAATATCGTCTATAACCCTCAAAAATACAGATGAATCGAGAACTTGAAGTCGCTTTAAAAGTTATATTTTTTTATGTAATAATTTGACACGTGTAATATTTGTACCATCTCAATATCTATAAATTAGGCCCCTCTGGATAATAATAGTGAAAAAATGGTCGTCACATATTTCGCTCATATCAGTCAGATGTCTACATTCATTTCGACCAGGTTCTTCATTTCAATATTATATATTGGAATACCGATATTTACAGTATCGGTTATTGTACCAATATATAGATATTGCGTTATATTACCGTCTGTTAATAATAATATTTTTTTCTATTAATAGAGATATAATACACGTACAGAATGAAATCGTAATCACTAGCATCCATTTAAAATTAACATTCTATTAAGGAATGGCGTGAATTTACTGGGTACAGAGGAATAACACCTGAGTCCTCAGGAATGGCAACGTATGGGGGGTATCATGGGCGAGTTTACTCTGTTATGTCCATGGTACTGCTCATGTCTATAGGCGACGGTTACCACTTTCCATCAGGTGGACCGTCAGCTTGTTTGCCATTCTAAGTTGTATAAAAAAAAGGAAATTACAAATTACTACTTATTCCAAAAAATCTGTTTTTCTTGACAGTTATATGCTCTATTATACATAGTTTATTTAGCTCATACATTTTTTTTATTTTCCAACCAATGTTTCATGGAAGAAAATCTTCAGTATCGCTGATAGATCACGCCTTTAAAAGCTGCAAATAATTTATATATCAACCTGTATATGGGGCTATTAAATCTAAGACTACCATGGTATTATCTCACAGTGCGATCATTATTGCACAACGGCCATTTTCTCGCGGGTGCAGAGACCCAGTTGCGTCACAGTTCGCAGGCACCGCCCGCCGGCCGATATGCATGCTCCCATGTAACCGTGGCGTGGTAACTATACAAACTAATTACGGTGTTCTTAACATAAATAATATACTACTGTAGAGTCACTCAATAGAAGATAATGAACTCAATAATAATGAACATATAAACAAACGAATAAATGACTATATTTTACCAGAGGGAGACTGTACAAAAGTCGATTGTTGCGTACCTCTGTCCCATTCGTGTTTCAACCGTAAAGCAGTTGCGTTTGCATGGCTGTGTTTCGGTTTGAAGGGTGGGATATGGCGTGAATTTACTGGGTACAGAGGAATAACACCCGAGTCCTCAGGAATGGCAACGCATGGGAGGTATCATGGGCGAAATAGTATTACTCTGTTATGTCCATGGTACTGCTCATGTCTATAGGCGACGGTTACCACTTTCCATCAGGTGGGCCGTCAACTTGTTTTCCATTCTAAGTTGTATAAAAAAAAACTATAATAATAATATAATATAAAGAGAAAAAGAATTACTAGATATGAATGCTGAAGTCTAACAGTAGTACAGTACAAAAATTAAAGAATTTTTAAAAGAGTTTTATTCATTTTAACTTCACTACATAGTATAAAACAAAGTCGCTGTCGCTGTCTGTCCGTCCGTATGTATGCTTAAATCTTTAAAAATACGCAACGAATTTTGAAGCGGTTTTTTTTAATAGGTAAAGTGATTCAAGAGGACATTTTGTATGCATAATATTGTTGAGAAACACTGATAAATTTAGAGGTCTCTAATGTGACGTGATGTAATGTGTACCCGCGCGAAGCCGGGGCGGGTCGCTAGTATTTTAATAAAACTAGTATTTTTATTAAGTTTACTAGATTCTGTTTCGCAACAATCAGTATTTTAATCAATATTCATATTAAACCTATGTACGGGAGTAAACTAAATATTTTAGGATTAGAAAAAATATTTTTTATAAAGGGTTCAGTGGCGACGTATTCCCGTCGTTTGATGAAAAGATAGACACGGCTGTGTTGATTTGAATTGCAGTAAAAATACATGACCATCATTATCACCATAGCAGTTTTTTTTTATACAACTTAGAATGGCAAACAAGCTGACGGCCCACCTGATGGAAAGTGGTAACTGTGGTCGCCTATAGACATGAGCAGTACCATGGACATAACAGAGTATACTGTTTCGCCCATGATACCCCCCATGCATTGCCATTCCTGAGGACTCAGGTGTTATTCCTCCGTACCCAGTAAATTCGCGCCATATCCCACCATTCAAACCGAAACACAGCAATACAAACACAACTGAGGGCCTACCATGAAATGTTTTCCGAAATTTCGGGCCCGAACGAAATACAAATTTGATGTTAAAATTACATAATACATACTGTTTAAAGATGTTTAAAATGTTAAAATATCATTCCTGTGGACTTTTATGGTAAGATTTATGACTAGCGAAATGTTAAGCTCCATTTACTGGGCCGATTTTGGTATGAACAAAAAACACGAAATTGAGTCCGAAAATTCGGAATTTCATTTCATGGTAGACCTCCTGCTTCACGGTAGAAACACGAATGGGACAGAGGTACCCAAGCCATCGACTTTTGTACAAAGTCTCCCTCTGGTTATCTGTTCACTGTTGAACATAGGCCTCCCCCATAGAGTGTCATAAAGAATGGCTCACTACTTCTTACTAATTATTCACTCGGTTAAGAATCACATTCCACACGTTCAGATAAAATTGCAAGTGACATCTTGTATTTATTTATTTAAATAACTTATTGACCAAAATAAAATAAGATACAAAACATGAATTTATTTGGAAGTTCTGGTATACCTTCAGGCAGTGTATTCCAGAGTCGTGAAACTTGAATAGTAAAAGAGTCTGACATAAAGCCAGATTTGTTAAATGGTGTAAGAAGTGAAAGGAAGTTATTTGAACAAAGATTCAGCTTGTCTACCATGAAATGAAATTCCGAAATTTCGGACTCAATTTCGTGTTATTGTTTATACCAAAATCGGACCAATAAATGGAGTTTAACATTTCGTTCGTCATACATCCTATCATAAAAGTCAAAAGGAACAATATTTTAACATTTTTAATATTTCCAAACGGCATGTATTATGTAATTTTAACATCAAATTTCTGTTTCATCTGGCTCCTAAATTTCGGAAAACATTTCATGATGGGCCCTCAAATTATGAGAGTTTCGAAGATACAGAAGTTTACAATTCAGATATTCCGAAAAGCAAGTGGATTTGTATATCTTACATATAGTCATAGTCGTAGAATACTGACGGATCTTTATATGTAATCTTTGTCAGATCCGTCAGTATTCTACGACTATGACGATATTACATTATCTATATGAATTATTAGAAATCTAAAAATAGCTTATAACCCTTGCTTCATAAAATTGCAAACAGTTTACGAAATAAAGAACTATTAAGGCAAACGGATATTATTATTGTTAATGATTTTTTAAATATGTATTTAGCAATAAATCATGAATAAATAAGTAAATAAATGAGGGATCTCGGTATTAACCTCAATCCCTGATGGGCAGTGAGACTGAAGGTCGAATACGGTGCTAAATTCATCTTTTTAATAATTACGTAGCAAAAAGCTACAAACGAATTCTTACGGTGCAACTTTGTCCGTCCATCCGTCCCTTCCGACTGTCCATCACAGCATTATATCTCAGGAACTATAATTCTATTTTATAAATTTGAAATAGTGTCACATATTGCAATGAAATAATTGAAAAAATACATTAATTATCCTTGGAATATATTTTCATTTAAAATTTACTTATTAGTCCAAATGGGTCCAATCATATCAATAACATTTTAAAACGAATTTTGATATATTGTTTTTATACTATAATTTTTTTTAATCATGATTAAAAATATGTGAAATTCCATCCTCCCCCCCCCCCCCCCTTCCCCATCCTATATCCAAAGTTTTTAAAGCAAACAATTACAATATTTAA